GTGAAATTGTGCTGCACTTTTAAAAGATGACGTGCAGGACTTGCAGCCTAGGGGGAGGATGGACTAAGGTGTGATTAAACGTCTTTCACACCCTCCTGGCCCTAAGTTGCAGTGGTCTCTGGTAGACAGCCCTGAGGGCCTCTCAGATAAAGTAGCCTATAGGCTGCAGAGCTGCCCAGAATCTCTGGGCTTTGCTACAGTCCAGCCCCCAGCACACCTTCCTGCTCCTGGTCCCACTCCCCTTATGCTGGGGTGTGCAGGAGTATCCTTAGAAGGCAGCCTTATAGCTGTCCTTCGCAGTGCCTGCCCCAGGGTAATCCTCCCCCAGGGAGAACCAGACAAAGGAGCAGGAACAGTGTCCTGCTCTGTACCTTTTGAAGCACTAGTTATTGTCCATGCTGGAGGTAGAATACTGCACTAGATAAACCCAATGATTATATTTATAAATAGTAAAAGGTTGTTGTCTGTAAAGTGCCATGCATACCAATGGTATTCTGTATACAAATATACATACATGATGTCAAGTACAGAGCATCAGACTCAAATCAGGATTTATAAATGTATAAAAATTATTATTATTACTGATTTAAAAATGAATACCTTCCCAGCTGTTACACTCAACAAATAAATGCATTTCCCTTCTGTCTGTTAACTTTCCAGATTCAAATCATCACACTTCGCCATTAGATTAAGTATAAAGGTTATTTTAATAAGGCAGAAATTGTTCATCCAGCTTCTGGATTCTCTAAGTCTGTAACTCTGCTTGTGTTTGCCTAGCTGCTGAAAACAATTTCACCTCAAGAATGCTGCAGTTGCTGGCATTGCTCTGTGTTTTTAAGTGATGGACACTATTAAATTCATTACAATTTAACTCATCCTTTCTTCCTCTTAAATGCTGATCATGCATTGGTTGTGCACCCAAAACTGCCACTTTGTTTGTGCAAGGTATGCAGGGGTAAGGTAGGTGGTAGGAGGCTAGTGAGGAGGGGGTTACAGTAATCAAGACAGGAGATGTTATTGGTGTGGACAGGAGTTTTGAGCTGTCTGGAGAGAAACTAGGATAGATGTTACAAATTGTGTGGAGGAAGATTTAGATAAAACCTGAATATGTATGTGGGGATGGGGAGGGGAACAAGGCTTGAAGATGGCATCCAAGATGATACCAGGTCTGAAAGACAGGAAGGAGGTTAATAGTGACAGAGTGGGGAATAGAGAGATCTCAGAAGGAAAGTGCAGGAGTGGGGAAGAGGTCCAGGTAGTCCTGGTCTCTCTGGTGAAGGTGGGGACAAGAAGTCCTGGATGGCTCCGGTCTTGCCAATGGCCTCCGCCTTAGGAAAATGTCAGGTTGAGCCTCTGCACCAGACACCCACAGGGAGATTTTAGAGAGAGAGAGACTGAGGTTCAGGATTGGATGGGAAAAATAGATCTGAAAGTCATCAGCATAAAGATGGTAGTTCAAGCTATGTGAATGGATGAGAGAGATTGTATGTAAAGAAGAGAAGATGGGGCCTCTGTAAGCCCTCATGCACAGTGACTGAGAAGAAGGAAGATACTCACCTAAAGAGATATTGAAGGAGAAATCCGAGGTTGGAGGAAAACAAGAAGAGGATGGAGTCATGGAAGTCAAGGAAGAAGAAGAAGTCAAAACAGGTGTCGCCCACCTTCTTGGAAGCAACAGAGGGTTCAAAGAGTGAGAGGAAAGAATAGAGATCCTGGGGTCTGGCTATAATGGAGTAACTAAAGACCTCTGAGAGGATTTTGATAGTGGACAAGGATGAATCAGGCTGTCTATACTACAGATGCTACATCGGCACAGCTACTGCACTGCAGTGGTGCTTCTATAGCGCTGTAGTGTAGACACTTCTGAGCACCATAGCTAGCTTGATTGAAGTGTTAAGTTTAGAACAGCCCTCAGACTGAAGGGGGTTGAGAATGCAGTTGTATGGGAAGCAACAGTTGTAAGGAACCAGAACTACTTTCCCACCCCAAAGCCGGCACCTCACTCCATTTTCTTTCTGTTTAAGGCACTTACATGGCTCCTATATCTGAGCACCTTACAATAATCTTAAATACAGTTATCCTCATCACACCCTTCTGAGGTACGGAAGTGCTGTTGTTCCCATTTTACAGATAGACTCTCAGTGCCTTAGTTTCCTAAGTGACTTGCCAAATGCCAGACAGTCGGTGGCAGAGCAGGGAGTTGAATCTGGCTCTCCCAAATCCTAGATTAGTTCCCTAACCACTGGATAATTCTTCCTCTCATACCTACTTCCTTTCTTCCTTCTCTCTTCTCTGTTCTTTCTCCCTCTTCCTTTCCATGTCTTTCCATTTAGCCAATCCCCATCCTCACAGAACACTCCCCTGAAGTAAATAGAAGACCCATGACGCTAACATGATGCTCTCAGCCCACCACATTTTTCACTCTGCTTGTGTTATATCCCCCTTCCTTATCATTTGCCACCTTGTCTATAAAATTTAGATAATAAACTCTCTGGGGCAGGGACTATTTACTAGTCTGTGTTTGTACAGTGCCTTGCACAATGGGGCTGCAATAGTTTAGAATCCTAGAAATGTGGGGCTGGAAGGGACCTCAAAGGGTCATCAGGTCAGGCCGCCTGCACTGAGGCAGGACCAAGTAAACCTAGACCATCCCTGGCGGGTTTGTCCAACCTGTTTTTAAAAACCACCAATGATGGAGATTCCACAACCTCCCTTGGAAGCCTATTCCAGAGTTTAACTAACCTTAGAGTTAGAAAGCTTTTCCTAATATCTAACCTAAATCTCCCTTGCTGCAGATTAAGTCCCTTATTACTTCAACTAATTTTAGTGGACATGGAGAATAATTGATCATGCTCCTCTTTATAAAAACTGTTCAGAGTAAAAGTTGAGAAACTGAGTTACAAGTCCACCCAATTTAGGCTTAATTAATTTTTGCCTTATTTGTACAATGTCAGACAGAGTTGTAGTCACTTAGTCCAGCCGGAAATACATTTATTCCAGGCAAATCATGACAGACAAGACAGAATTTATAAATGGACCCAAATTACCACATCTGGGGCACCGGAAGTTCTTCCACCTTTTATAATAATCATTGCTTTTTCTTCTCCCTTGGTCTGGTCCTTCAGTCCTGTTCTTCAGTTTCTGGTCTGGTGTTTCTCCAGTTTGGGGCCATGCTCACTTAGGTCTTTTATACATTTCTACATTACAGATTATTTAATCTTTATCCCATTGGCTTTTAGCACATCAGCTCTTTGGATTTTAGGTAACCTATACATTACACACGTGCAAGCTTCAGTTACCCATCTTCTGTATTTTTCCTGCTGGGTTTGCAGTTTGTGGGTCAGATTGTTTTTATGTCACTGTGCCCTGGGTCTTCCTAGAAAAAGTGTGTGTTTGTTTTTAATTTATTTATTTATCATTTCCTGTTTGTGACTCTCTTTACTTACATCTTCCAACACAACATGTTATCTTCTGTCAGCAATAACATTTTAAGGAGATTAGCAATTCTATGTAAAACCACGCATATGCCGACCAAAACCTTGGCTTAAGTGTTAATTCATCTATACATAATTACAAATAATTAAAAATACAGCTATCAATATTATCTTAATATTATCATTAATAATTCTTTATTTTCTGTTTCAGTGTTATGAGTAAATATATGTTATTCTGTGCTACATTTAATCTACTAGAAAGGGGAGAGGGAGTTATGGAAAACATGATGATTCTTTAATGTCAACATTCCTTGTCTTCTTTGAACATGTTTTTTCATTCAAAGTCCAGTTTTGTTTGTGAATCATACAGTTAGAAATTTTCTTGTGAATGCATTTTGGGGGGGGAGGGGAGAGGTGTCACTATTTTAGAGATTTGATATTTAGTTACTTAACATATTCGAAAACTCTTCATCAGGTCCCCTGCTCAGTCATCTTTTCTCAAAACTAAACATGCCCAGTTTTTTAACCTTTCCTCGTACGTCAAGTTTTCTAAACCTTTTATCCCTTTTGTTGCCGTTGTGTGAATTCTTTCCAATTTAGCCACACATTTCTGACAGTGTGGCAATTTTGGTTGGCTCCCAGATGCTACCATAGTACAATTAATGATAATCAATAAGTGGAACAATTGAATTTAGAGGCGAACAGATTAAGAGGCATAGAGAAGTAGTTGGAGAGACAGGTGGGTCAAGGCTGGATTTATGGGGGCTAGTGAAATACTCCTTCAACTTCCCTGGTGTTCTGTTAAGCAGAAGAAGAGCTCAAAAATAAATAAGTTCAGGTGAATACAATGAACATATGGGAATGATTAATGGCTAAATGCTGGTAAAATTCCCATTGACTTCACTGGGACCAACCTTTGGTTCTAGATTCCAGGATAATTGACTGATTTTGCCTTTGTGTTGTCCAGTAACTTTTCCAATCCCTTCAGAAACACAGAGCGTCGTTTCCTGTCTTTGTTACGGAAAGCTCCGTACCTGCCTGTCTGCTCTGATCAAGATTTTACAAAGTTGCTATCTGAAGTGCATGTAGCAAGACTGAATCCTATGTCTATTTTAATTACTCCCATTACAATAATATAGTATGTCTAAATAAAAATCATTCAACTATTCTCTCTATAGTATTGATCCCCTGGGAACTGAAATTACCTTGCATTAGCAAGTCCATGATTTGCATCCTTTTCCCTCTAGTGGCTAGCATTAAAGGAAATGATCAGACAAGTATTTTGTTCTGAAACTTTTTCTTCATGCCATTGTATTCTGAAATCAGGCCAGTGATGATTTTTCCCCCTGGATCTGTCTTCAAAACCCTCATTTTCTTTCTTCTGATTTAAGCAAGTCTATCTTAGATCCATGGTGGATAGAATGTTTTATTTTTACTGTAAGCAACAACTAGTTTGTGACTTGTAAATAATTTACATCCAAAAGCATCAAAAAGAAAACATTTTATGCAAATGTCAGTGATATTCAAGTCATTGGAGATGCCAAGTTTACTCTTTTGTGCTTCCAGATTTATCAGAGATGCTGGTTAGTATTCAAGAAAGCTTCAAGCAAAGGGCCTAAACGACTGGAGAAGTTTTCAGATGAGCGTGCTGCCTATTTTAGGTGCTATCACAAGGTAAGATTTGGCCATATGTAACTTACCCCAATTTCCATTGAGTTCATAATTCTACACAGCTCCAACAGATGTTTAGAGGCCAAAAATGCTTAGATTTGCTGCTACTTCAAAAACAAGCTCTCCAGTGAAATTTAAAGATTTTATAATGTGTGTAGTTTGACAACTCATCTACTATGAATATAACTGTAAATAATCAAGATACTCAAAATCCTGGGCTCACTTTTGTGTCTGTCCTAACTCTGGGTACGTCTATACTTACCTCCGGGTCCGGCGGTAAGCAATCGATCTTCTGGGATCGATTTATCGCGTCTTGTCTAGACGCGATAAATCGATCCCGGAAGTGCTCGCCGTCGACACCGGTACTCCTGCTCTGTGAGAGGAGTACGCGGAGTAGACGGGGGAGCCTGCCTGCCGCGTGTGGACCCGCGGAAAGTTCCAACTAAGATACTTCGACTTCAGCTACGTGAATAACGTAGCTGAAGTTACGTATCTTAGTTCAAAGTGGGGGGTTAGTGTGGACCAGCCCTAAGTTGCACTTATGAGCCTTAAAGCTAGTTGAAAAGTTGGAAAAAAATTCATGGAAGTTTTTTCACAAAGAGTGTGTCCCCTCTTTTTCAACATTGAAAACATGTGATAGGTACCTTTATGAATCAACGCCAGAGTTTATTATTAGCATGGTAAGAATAGTGACCTAAATACATTTCAGACATATAAAAAGATAGGGCCCAAGTCTCACTTACACTAAGGCCACTTAAAGGTCTCTTTGCACTGTCAAAGATGTAAGTGGGAGTAAATTAATATTTATACCTACTGTACTTTAAGACCCATTTGCACTGCTAAATGAGTATAAAATGGCCTTAATGTAAACAAGAATCAGGCCCAGAGTGCTTGCCTGGAAAGGGGAGTCTAAATCATAATTGCCATAACCATGACTTTAAGGGCCCTACCACCAGGTTTTTTTAGACACGAGTTTCAATTGAACTTGTAATGGTCTATATTGGCAGGGATTATTTGTGCAAACTCTTGGAAACATAAAGGACCACATTCATCCTTAGTCGAACTCTGCTGAAGTTAGCGAATTTTGCTCCGTGTTAATATGAAAGCCCTCGTTAGATGCTTTTCAGACCAATGAACTTCCTTAATTTTTCTAATCACTTCTCTCTAGAGACCTCTGCTCATCTCAGTTCATCTGAGAATTTACATGAGTAATTCCCTTGGGCATGGAGTTGAAAATAATATGCTTTAATTTATAATCTTTGTTGGTAAAAGCTTCAGACGTTTGAAAATTAGGAATTATTTGCATAACCTTTGAGGTGCCTGAGACTGCAGATGAGCTTCTGAGGCTGATCCTCTCTTATCCGGTTTGTGAGACATATAGGAGGAAATCATGAGGGAATACTGGATCTGAATTCTCTCCTATTTGTCTCCATCTGTATCTATGCTCAATATAATTTATAAGGGATTGGTCATAAAACCCCAGGGCTATTTGTAGTACGTCATGCCCAGAAAAAGGCGTTCATTCAAATTTATATTAAGCAATTTGCAAAAGCAATGAAAAGTGAATAATAATTTTTCCATTTGATCTGTGTGGGGATTACACAGTATATATTTTTAGAGTAGATACATTTCAGCTCTGTGTGGAATATGTAACCTCTATGATGGTGCAGTTCTGACAACTACTGATGCAAATTTAATCTCTTATAATATTAACGCAGAGCATTAGCCATATATGCACCATTACCTGGAAGATTTTGAATTTAAGACTGGATTTGAGATCCAAGAGGAACCAAAATGCTTAAGGCCAAATTTTCTTCTCTTCTTTAAGAGGATATCCATTTTTGCATTTGCAAGTTTGTTACATACGCAATCCAGACGTCAATTCCTGCAACTGGATCTGCACAAGTGGACCACTATACCACAGGGCTACCACTAACTTCAGAGGGATTCCATGAAGGCATAGGGATCCAGCCACATAAATCAAGTTGCAAGATATGGCCTAATATCAAGTAACTGATTTATGGATGTAATCGGGAGCTCAGACAGCTAGTTTGGCATTTACAATAGCTCTCAGTATAGGCCAAATTTTGCTCCCAATCACTTAAATGGTAAAACTCCCACTGATTTCAATAGGAGCAGAATTCAACCAGTTCAGGGTACTTATGAAAATCTCACCCTTAATCAGTAAACTTACACCCAGAAATAGTTGCTGGCACAAAATAAACACTAGACATGGTTGAAAGTTTTTGTTTAAAAAAAAAAACTTTTTGAGTAAAAAGAACATCTAAAAAATGGTCATGGAAAATATTTTGGGTTGTTTAGAAATGTTTTGGTTTAAAAAAAAACAACAACAACCCAAAAGCATGCCCCAATCTCAACATTTCCACCCCAAGCTCAACATTTCCCCCCCAAAACATGAAAAGTTTCTAAGGAAATAAAACATCTTCATGTAATTTTAAAATTAAAAAATGCATGTGCAACATATACTTCTGAAAGCTACATTAGTTCTATCTAGAACTACATATTATGATATTTTTTGGAGTTGTGTGAAAGATTTGACTCAGACACTGAATACACTTGAAATCTGTCTAGGTTTGAGTTTGACCCGCATTCCTAGATCAGGCGCCATCCTTTCAAACCTCTATGTACATGCACTTCCCATTCAAGATTTTTGGAAACTGTTCTTGCTCTTTCTGGGTATTCACAAACATTTTGGTATGGTTGCTCATGCTGCATTTTGAGTTCAAGCCCAAATGTGTCAAGCTAAATGGTATATTCCAGTCAGTTGACACTCATCCACAGGCCAAGCAGCCAGTTGGCCAGGACTGTCCTTTTATTCCCCCAGAAAGCCCAATTCCTAGTCACCTGATGCTTTGTCAGGTGACTTCACTCACAGCTTCTACGTGGGGAGACCACCACCAGACCAAATCTGATACAGGTTCAGCTGAGACCTCAACCCTCTTAATGGGCCAGCTCATCCTGTGACAGGCTGCTCTGGTACTGGTCCCACTTCTGGTACTGGTTCTGGTAAATCCATGAGAATTTAAGCAAACCTACAGTGCACAAGCCATGCTTTCCCAATGAGATTCTGCCATGGGAAATCCATGTTATTCCAACCAAAACTTTTCAAACTTCAGAGCCCGTTAACCAGAGCTGCCCCAAGTTCCACATATATAAGACTCAAATGTCTAAATACATGGGAAGCGAAGTCACAAAGAATCCATGTAAGGTATTCTGCAATTTCCTGTACAAAATGGAGTAGTATTCCAGGATGTCTCCATATGTGGGACCACAATGGACAAGAATTTGTAGGTGAGCCATGCATGTGGTCAGTGGAGCTCGACATTGTAAACATGTTGGTCAACAAGCCTGGGGGTGGATGTCCTCATGCCCAGTAGAAGTGTGTTCACAAGAAGCCAGTTTGCCCTGACTGTTTAGATGTAAACTGTCTGGCACAGGGTCTGTCTCTAACTATAAGTTTGTACAGTGCCTTGTATGACAAGATTCTGATTTGGAGCAGGGCCCTAAATGCACTACTACAATGCAAATTAGTCACAATAATAATTATCTATATCCAGAATATTTCTGCTGCAGTATGTACATTTTCATCAGAAATCATTTGTAGTCTAGAGTAAATGTTATTTTAATTTGTGATTTCATTCACTATTCCAACAGTGAATCTGGAAGCGTATTCTCTCCACACCCCTCACCAAACAGTCAGTGTCATCATTATAATTTACTGCTTCTCCATGTTTATCATTCTTCTGTGCACACCCAAAAATGAAAAATAAGCAATGCTTATCAGACAATATTGTTTAAATTTAATTATGCACCAGGATGAGCTATCATTTGCCTGGGTAGTATTTCCCCTTTGCTGTGGTAACAGAGTCTGTGGCATAACAGAATCCAAATTTTTCATTGGGAGAGAAATTTGAAATGGAGACAGGGTGTTTTCCAGCTGTAGCATAACTTATTCATTTACAAAATGTCCACAAGTCCTGTTTACTAGGCCTGGTCGGGAATTTTCTGACAAATCTTTTTGTTGAAAAATACCATTTTATTTAACTGTTTGTGGGAAAGGGTCAGTTTAGACAAATTTTTCAACACAAAACAACAAAATTGGAGGAAAGAAGTATCAGAATTGTCGATGTTTTGTTTTGACATTTTTGAAACACAAAGTTCCAGTTTTCCAGGTTGAAATGACTTTTCTTTTGAAATTGATGCGAGCGCTAATATAATAATAATTAATAAATTGAAATCAAAATGAAACTTCTCAAAATTACTAAAAGAAAATGTTTTGATTGACCCAGCTAGATTTTTTTCCTGTTTGTGAAAATTTTCACAATTTTTTTTTTTACTGTTTTCACCAGAAATCTGAAAATTTTCCACCAGCTCTTCCTCATCCAGATACTCTGCAATACATAGGAACTCCTCAGTCAGGTGTGACCATAATCAATGTCTATCGGAGCCGAATTCTGTGCTAGTGTCCATCCAAGCAAACGAGATTGTCTAATCCAGGTGGTTCTCAAACTAGGGTTCTCAAAATGGGGGCTGCAGGAAGGGCGGCCAGCACGTCCCTCGGCTCACGCCGCTTCCTGCAGCCCCCATTGGCCTGGAGCGGTGAACTGCGGCCAGTGGGAGCCGCAGTTGGCTGAACCTGCGGACACGGCAGGTAAACAAACCGGCCCGGCCCGCCAGGGCTTTCCCTGAACAAACGGCAGCCCTAGTTTGAGAACCACTGGTCTAATCCACAGTGTAGCTTGAATGGTCATCTGGATTTGGCTGGTTGTGAGATCTACCTTTAATTCTTTCTACTGAGGTTTTCAAATTATTGATAGGAGTATTGAGTAACATGCATTCAATTGGTACTTCTACCATAAGAGTATATTTTATAGGAAATTTCTGAAAGTTGTGTAGAACTGCCTCTCTTGTAGTCTATGGCATCAGAACAAAGGCTGTCATAGCCACAAAAAGTAGTACCTAAAGTTTGGAGGACTTTGTGG